TCAATTGTTCTGTGTGACCTTTCATTGGCCAGAAAATGAACCAATCACAAACGAGCTTTTTTCCCTCTGCTGAAGAGAAGGTGATATGAAATAAATAAAGCTTGATAGGCTCATAGCCGAACACCAAAAATATTTAATTGGCTGAACTGGTTGCCTGAAAAAACTTCATTGTATTTGATATTACTGAGATCATTGTACCTGGAATCACGCTAACACATCTGAATGCGTTACTATTCCAATGAATCCCAGATCACAAACTCATTTTATTTCATATCACCCTCCTTTCAGTCGAGGGAAAAAAACTCGTTTGTGATTGGTCCATTTTCTGGCCAATGAAAGCTCATATTGAAAAACCCCCTTCGAATTCGAATTCCTGGATATCGATAACCTATTGCAAAGTTTTATCAAAAGATCGAAAAGCCTTAAAATAAAAAGGCTCGTTTGTGATAAGTAGTTCCATCGTAGTTAAAATTTTAATTTCATAGGGATTGCACTGAAAGTTTATTCTTCACTATCCGTTTCTACAGGTTTTCTCTCTTTTGATATCAATCGATGAGCATAAAATTTCATAGGACTACAAGTTATATATTAGCTTTGTACACTAATGAAATATTCGTCAGACATAGAAATTCTGAATCAATTGTAAATGTACTTTGCATTTTTCAATAGGTTTACTGTGTTATCTCTTTTATCTCTGTGAAAGATATAGTATAAATAATGCACAATGAAAATAAATATATAATAAGCTATAATGATGAATAGTGATTTCATTTTGTTTCGATAATATAACTTGGTATCGAAGTGATTTGATAAAATATATTACGCATATTTTGATGAATATTTACTTAATAGAAATATTCTCATTCATGTTCACCCATAGAAATAGTTATCGATACCAGTAAAATTGGTTTGATATACAAAAACAAACACTTCTATGATCAATTTTTTGAGAAAAAACATGCGAAAACTCAAAAATAATCTAGGCGAGTCGATAAGGAATCCTTAAGCGAATGGTTGGTTATCGTTACCGGTTGCAACACTGATGCAAATTTTTAATTAATAATCAACATACAGTGCTGCGTAGACAGACCCATACTCTAACTTTCATCATCTCGAATAAATAGTTTGAAGTCTAGGGAAGTGTTTTCGTTATAAGGATTTTACTTTAACCAACCGAAGGAATAAATCAACCATCAAAAAAACGTTTTGAGCATTTTAAGAATTACGTCTTTTTGGTAGTGTTCAAGTGAGCATCCTACCACAGAGTTGTAACAGATAACAGTAGATGACCTATTCTATAGAAGATTCTTTATCAGGCGGTATGCATTGGTTTTAGGTTTTTCATGGTTCTTTAAAAAACCGCGTCAGTGCAGTTCTTATAAGAGGCCAAACTGTGGAACTCAGAAAATCTAAGTGTTATAAAATTATGAGATATTATCAGAGATTTTAAAATAATCTATTTAAAACAAATGCCAAGTCAATGAATAAATCAAAATTTTAACAATTGTTATGGTTGACACGCGCACTCTGAAATTTTATCATTTTGAAAATATTCGCATCTATAATTACTTTTCTACCAACTTATATGATTCATTTAACATCGTTATAAGGTAGAAACTTATTTGTATTGTCAGATACATCTTCAATATATAACTTCTATGTTCCTAATAATAATATACATACAATATATGCCACAGGAAGCGGCAAATATAATTTTACTCTTCGTTTCCTCCGTTCAACTGCCATATTAGCCTGCTATACAAATTAATTTTATCATTCAGTAAGCTACCGTGCACACTATCCTCTCTCTCGGCGAATTTTGACATATACTGTTGAGTTTTGCCTAAAATTAGAGGTCAACTACTTTATATTTTCCTACGTCCATCCTATCTGACTCTGCTATATCAAAAATACGACCGTCCTATTAAAATTGACATCTACCATAAAATCTCTTCTCTGCATGAAAAACCGAAAACCGCAATATTTAGATTAAAAAGTTACAATCCATAGAGTCTCAGACTGATATAAGCACTATATTACTAACACGCCATTTCTCATTGCTATGGAAACCTATCCAATCATATTTATCTTCCTCCTTCCATAGTTGGTAGGGCCTATGGAGGGACTCTACGAACGGCTGAGAGAGCCACAAAACCTCGATTTAAACTTACATTTACTATTTGCTTCGAAAATATATACGAGTTCCACAAAAATTGAGCATAAAAGTGTTTTTTTTTCGCAAGTCAAATACTTTATACTGATTTTGAAGTTTGTTTCTGTGAAGAAATCTGCGTTCTAATCGTTCTATTTAGCTGAAATTTATTATAATATATTGATCGGATTTAATCAAATCATTTTTATACAAACTGATATTATCAAAACACAATGAGGTGTCGTATTAAAATTTGCATCAACCATTAAGACAAATGCTCCGGCATTAATGGTAGCAGAGTTAACCAATGCCCATATGTTTGCATTAAGTTAGCATTATTTTTAATTGTAATGATTAAACTCAAAGTAAGTTTTAGAAAGCTATCTGTAGCATTGTAGGTGGTGTCTATAACACTTCAGATGCTGTCTGTAGCATCTCTACTTTCCTTGGTGGTGTCTACGGCCTCTCTACTGGTGTCTGTAGAGTCGTAGATGATGCTTCAGGCAAGTAGGGTGGTGTTCACAGCATCTCAGGTACTACCTCTAGCATTGCAGATGATGTTTGTAACACCTATAATGCTACAGATAGCATGCTAAAGTAGTTCTCTAAAAGCTGTATTGTGTATATATATTAGAATCCAAAATAATGCTAACGTGATGCTAATACCTCGGCATTCATTAACTCTAATATCAATAATGCTGAAGGATTAGTCTTAATCATTAATTCTAATGCAAAAGCATCAACATTTTTGTTAATACTAATGCTAACTCGACGCCTCTAATTTTAGTTTATTGCAGTTTTACTTATATTTCCGATCTCCTTTATAGGATATAGTTCGTACAGATATAATAGATAGCAAAACGATTATGATATCAGAAGTAAATTTAATATGAAATTAATTAAAAGCGTCTGTGTCAGACAAACAATTAATGAATATGAAGATTTCAAATGGAATTGTAGTATTGTGAAGTTTTCTCTTCACCAATAAACAAAAAAACTTATGGAAATAATATATAAAAAGCATTAAAAAACGACTGTTATATTATTTCTGTAGTGATTACATCATAAATATGATCAATTGAGACATTGATTTGTCTCCTATAGGATCAAAAAATGAAGAATGACTCATGACGGTATACTGACCGAATCGATCGAGTCTGACTGTTTATTTATTGATGAATTATTCTGGATCAGTTTCACTAGAAATCTTCTGTGTGATGGAAAAAAGTATTGAACGCTTTTTTTGAACTAAATATTCTATAATACAATGCAATCTTGGCAGAATGACAATAGGAATGCGCCATTTTGCCACCGAATGCATAGATATTACTGAGACCGTAATTGACACTTTCTTATAAAAAGGATTCATTAGTGAAAAGCTTTGATCAAAAAGATTGCTCAATTCATGAATGACGAATTTTACTCAGTGAACCTTTTTATTTACATTCGACTTCAATGTAAAAAAAGGCCTGTTCTGAAGGAAATTGATCATAATTCATTGCGTCTGAAATTCATCGAAGTACTAGCAAGTCAAAAATGATATCTCATAATATCTCGTAAATGGCTCACTATAAAGACGTGTTTACTACGCTGAAATATATGAATATTTCGATTTTTTGATCGACGTCAATATTCTTTAAATATTATGTTTAATTCGTTGATCAATTTATGGATTTGAATATTATCCCAGAACAAAATTGTAGAGCACTCAATTTTGTGAACTTTTGATACTAATTTAAGCTCTCAAAACTGTTAAGCGAGAATATACATGTCAACACATTCCAAAACCTATCAAACATAATACTTATTACCTTGTGGTCCACTAAGTATAACCTCGGACGATGATGGTGCTGGTGTCGGGCAACTGGTCAAATCAAGTACATCAAACGTTTCATCATCAAATTTGAATTCCAGTACCAAACTTGAAAACGTTCTAGCAAGCTTAGTTTGAATATTGTTGATAAATTTTTGTTTGCAAGATACAGATACGCCACACCTCCTTGGATATATTATACAAAATGTTGTTTCCACAATTAACATATCAGATCCCAACTGATCACAACTAGGTCTAAAACAGAGTTACACAGGTATTGAGAACAAATGCATTATTTAAAAAATCACGCAAAATATGGACGCACATTTGACGTTTTTTTCTGTCAAGTTCACGACGACGACGACCAACAATAACACCACCTGTTCCACCACTGTAGACGACAATGCTAGTAATACGGATCGTGTTTGGGTTGATACCATAGGCTGCTTCTAACTAGAATTCAATTAGGTATGACATACGTGATAAATAATTGAAATACGATTACTTGTCGAGCTATCTCATTAACATTGACGACAGTTGGCTTCCGATTATTCCTAAATATCCTGCCTGTGACGTAACGTAGCGTTGTTCCACAAGCTTCTACAATATGAAATGAATAATCAAAAGAAATAATCGTTTCTCTTGACATGTTTTGCAAAAAAATGAATCATTATATGAAAAAAGTTGTTCGAAGATAACCAATGTACCAAAAAGATCGATTTGCAAATGTCAAATAACATTTAATAAAAGGTAGATACTTTCAATCCTCTTTCTATCATTATCACCCTATATAGCTTGCGTGAAAAGTCGCTCCTACAAGACGATCCTTTCTTACTAGACTTTAGCTAACTTTACGGTATTCACTCTATCTATTTGTGGATACCAAACGACACTTACAGCTGAAGTCGACTCTAATGTTTTTTTCTTGTCTAGTTTCTTATGGTATTATTGTCGAATTTTTGTAACATGTCAACCACCATTTTTTGAATAACATTTGGTCGTTTATAGCTATCGAGGTCGGGTTTCCGCCATTAGGTAGAGCAATGTTGAAGACGTGTATCTGTGTAACATTCATTAAGTTCGAAAAATTTTTTCACAGATATTTGCAGATGAATATTTTTTTCGTTGTCTATTTCTACAACTTCCTGTAGCAACCTAAGTTCAAATTACACTAAAATGTAGTCCGAAGTGTTCTATTCCCTATATAATTGTTCGATGTTTCCATCCTCACCCTGGACTCATGCTGCAAGAGAAGTGTTTTGAAATCTAGAAATTTTATTGGTAATACGGCTCTCTTTAGGCTACATTTTGATATAATTTGAACCTGTATTGCTAACGAAAAGTTGTGGAGATGCACAACGAAAGAAATTTTCATCTGCAGATATCCTTGAAAAATTTCTTCTAACTTGATGAATATTACACAGATAGATGTCTCCAACATTGCTCTATCTCATAGCGAAAACTCGACTTCGATAGCTGTAAACGATCGAAAGTTATTTAAAAAACGATAATTGGCATTTTCAAAAAAAATCCAATGATAGTAACCGTTAAGAGAGATTGATAATCTAGATAGACCATATGAAACAGCAAACTATTCTATACAAGATATACTATGTCAACACATTCAATGACTCAAATGTAAATTGGTATTATAAGTATTAGTTTTGGTGTTCGAATTATATATATCATTCAAACTACAGTACAAAAGATTCTGTTCATATAAAAGAGAATGTTTATCTTAATTTGGCTGAAAGATAATCTTTTTTATAATAATTAAGTATTTATGAACGATAAAATGAGAACATGAGTTTGAAACAATCAAAGTTTTCTTTAAACAAGCTCAATATTTTTAACTGCTTTCAATGCAATATTTTTCATGAAAAATTGATGATGTACTTTTCCGATCAGGATCACTGTACTATATCTGTCAATGGAAAACTGAATTTCTCATTATTTCTGTCTTCTCATTCTATTTCTGAAAATTTCACAATCACGATACAACAAACAACATGGTTCTCTGTTTAGCTGCAAGAAAGAATTAACAAACCTGGAGCGTCGTTCGTCACGATGCCTGCACCACGTTTATTAAGATACACAGGTATTAATGAAAGTACTATCACGACTGCAGCCCAAAACAAAAGTAGACAAATGATCACTGCAAGTATCAATGGGAGCAATCTCATAAACCACTTGCTAGAATAAAAACACAGAAAAGTGCATTATTTATTTCTGGATAATAGAAAGCGAAAGTGATATGAACATTGAGCTGACGAGGTAAAGTCTTCAAGGGAAAAATAGTTTTTTCGTTATTTGCGAGTAGTGTGAATATTCTAACTTGAATTGGATGTGTGGAGCTTGAAACCGAGCAATGATCGTTAGTTAATTCGCTTCTCGAGCTGTCCTAAAGCATTTTGGGGAAAGTGAGTGAAACATTTTCAGTATGGAAATCTGCAGATAGATAGATCTCATCGTTATTAATGTTCTAAAAGTTACCGTCAAAACGTATCTTTCCATTCTGAGATATTAAGCTCTTTAAGAATTCACATTTAAAAAAAAAAGAAAATTAGAAACACCTGATCGACTTGAAAAATTAATATTTCAAAGAAGCATTTGTTCCGATTAAAACTTGTAAGAAATTCTAGTGATACTGAGACCTATTCATACTCAACATTTCAGACTGAAAACATGATATCCGAATTTATTGGAAAACGTTTAGATTAGGCCGCGAGATGATAAAATAGTGTTCATTAGATAGTTTTAAAGGCTTAGACATTCAGTCGAAGTCACAGCATTGTACAGCTGATTATGACTGATTTAGTGATTACAATCACTGTTGAGAAGCGAGTTCACACTTGGAAATCTTTGCTTGTGATTATTATCCAATTAACATGTTAGTCATTGCGTTGATAAACGAAGCGTCGACAAACGTACCCTCGATCAGTTATATCATAATCAATTCTAATTAACCAAGCCATTTGAAATAATTACGATATTGGTTATTCTCGATTACCAAAAACTTTGGAATCAAACTTGTAAGCTTGATTTCTAAAATGTATGATTGAAAACATTAAGTATATGTTATATCGGCTTAAAAAAATTTGGGTTTTAATTTTTCTTCGATACCAAGTGATTTTCCAGTGAAGCTGTTTTGAGGACTTAGCAACCATGGATGACTGAAAGGCTCAATGGGCTATATTTTCTTTGTTGATTTCTTATTGTTTGTTTAGCCTATGTATGTGTATTGGATAGTCCAAGTTAGAAGATGGTATCAGTATTTCGCCAATGTTTTTTCAATTTTGAGTTCAATAAGGTCGAAATAACTTTTTTAAGAAATTCTTCTTCAATTCTCCTTAAGAATCGTTAAAACAGTTGATGTTAGATAGCAAGTGGGCAAGTCAAAATAAAATTATTTTCAAGCTGTAGACCGTTGAAACTTCTAAACGGTTTATCTCATAAGATTTCGACTGTTTTCTGTAGTTCTACAAATTCAAGAAATCCTGACACAAGTTGTTTGATTAATCAGAAATAGTTATTTTTTCGTGGACAAGAGTAAAGTCAGTTTCCAGGAAACTTCATTTTATCTTACGAAGAAATTTTTTTCGAATGTAGAAATAAACAAAAAGAGGAAGCAGATAAGAAGTCAAATTGGCCAACTTCGTTGTATCGTATGCCAACGGAAAGAATACGTTGAGATAATTAGTTTGGTACTAATTTCATGAGATTTTGATTGCATTGTGAAACCTAAAAGCTAGCAATAAAACAATGCATTTTACGCCACTATTCTAATAATCCATTGTGTCATTGTGGATTCGATTTGAGATTAAATAGATAAGAAAAAGTACTATTGAAATTATGAATTTGACAAATTTTCGATGACGCTTCAATGCCATATACAAATCACTAATTGATTATTTAATTTAACGAGATACAGGTCCAATGTACTGGTAGATACTGTTAGCATACTTACTACATTCTTCATCCACATTTATTTTTCAACAAATATTTTATTTTAAAAATTGCAATGACCAAAACTGTGGTATTGCTCATTTGATAACGTTTTTGAAAGCTACAAAATTATATATATGTTCCAAAGTAAAAAAAATGTGGCCATTTAAAGAATTGCTAAGCACCTTATTATCTAAGCGTAGGTTTGTGTCTTTTTAATCAATATTTAGAAGATTTCAATTCGAAACGTCCAACTTGAGTCAAAACGAATGTGATATTCAAAATCAGCATAAAATTCTGAGTTAGTCTACGTAGAATTTAAAGAATTTCTAAAACTTTTTCTCGTCGAAAAATTACTTCTGATTCCCCGTCAGCGATCAGATGAAAAATAAACTGCATTCAAATACCATATGAACAGTGCAAATAAATCGCAAAAGTTGTTAACAGTTATTAGATAGCAAAATAGGAGATGTCTAGAAAATAAAAACAGGGTTGTCATTGAGTTCATTTTTTGTTTGGTCACTAAGGGGGAGCGGGGGTAAATTTTTAGACGAGAAAAAAGTTTTAGAAATTCTTTAAACTATACACAGACCAACACAAAATTTTATGCTGATTCTCTATATCATATTCATTTTGATTCAAATTGAACTTTTCGAATCGAAATCTTCTAAATATTGATTAAAAATACACAAAAACTACGCTTAGAGAATAGGATACTTAGCAATTTTTTAAGTGACCAGATTTTTTTAATTTTGAAAAATACAGAACTTTGTAGCTTTCCAAAGAACTATCAAATAAGCAATACCACAGTTTTGGTCATTGCAATTTTTAAAATAAAATATTTGTTGAAAAATAAGTATGGATGATAAATATAGTAAGTATGCTAACAGTATCTACCAGTACACTGGACCTATATCTCGTTAAATTAAATAATCAATTCGTGATTTGTATATGGCATTGAAGCGTCATCGAAAATTTGTCAAATTCATAATTTCACTAGTATTTTCTCTTATCTATTTAATCTCAAATCGAATCCACAATGATACAATGGATTATTAGAATAGTGATGTAAAATGCATTGCTTAATTGCTAGCTTTTAGGTTTCAAAATTCAATGAAAATCTCATGAGACTAGTACCAAAATAATAGTCTCAACATACTCTTTCTATTGACATATGATACAATGAAGTTGGCCAATTTGATCTCTCATCCGCTTGCCCCTTTTACTTATTTTTATATTTTATTATGAAAAAAATAGCATAATCAGTCTCAAATTTACTGCAATGTGTCATTCATGTCCTTTTAAATTGAAAGCAAACATTAGCGTAAACGATTCATTTTTGATTGATGTATGAAAATTTTCTTTAGTCTCTAAAGTTTTCTGTTGAAAACACGATTTTTGAAAATTCAGAAAAATAGGTCCTATCTATCCTATAATAAATTTCATGATACAAAACAAATTGGATTGAGGTTGAACGATAGAGTCTTTGAACTCTACAAAATATCTTCTATACTTTTCTATTACTTCGCACTACATACTAACAAAACCAAGAAATTTGTCCTTTTTGCAAGAAAGTTGGCTATGTTGAAGCTTCCGCATATTATTTTTGTTCAATGATTCAGAATTGCAATTCTACATAAACTATTCTTAAATTTTCTTGAAGAAAATTGAATGGAAATCTTTCAAAAATACTTCGAGTTTTAAATGGTGAAAACTGATAGAGATATTGACGAGATACTAGCATAAACATTTTGTTTAGACCATTTGATAATAATGACATATTGTGAATAGGCCATATGAATCAAACTAAAGAGTTTTCTTAGTCTATTTTTAGTGTCTGATGAGGGAAAAAACAATAAGCAAGCCTACTTTAGCCTTAATGTAATTGGTCTGTTAAATATCAACATCATCGGTCATAACAAAAGAGAGCACCCATTTATTACACTATTATTTATGGAATGTATGACCAGCATTAATAAGTATTCTGAGTAGGGATGGCATTTTAACTTTAATCTATACTTTAGCTACTTTATTAAAGTATTCTTAGAGTTACAATAATCCTTCTCCCTTCCAACACTGCATGCGATTTTCCACTTAGGAAAGAAATACTGTGAAGAATTTGTAGTGTTATACATCGTAATTTCTATGAAATTCTAGTCGAAAATACTAGTGTGTCTTCGCTTTCACTCAATTGTAACTAATTTAGCATTTATCATTGTCTTATATTACAATCTTCTTTTATTCTTTTAATCAATCATGCCTGAACCTTACATCGATGCACGAATATGTGTGGCAAATAGATAAGTAGATCAAACATAGAGGAAAAATGCATGCACATTTTGTTACTAACTCAATGTACATTCAATACTATTAACTTTCACACAAACTCAAGAAATTTCACTCATGCCTATCATACTCATAATGTACGCATAATTATCGATGCTTTTCAGGGTCTGGTTTCGATCATGATTCTCACAAAATGACTCCACAGTAACTTTTCGAAGACTTGCTAATGACTCGATCTCCCTCACTCGGGTTACACCATTAGATTTACATCATGTCTTCTTTTAGAAAACATATTGGTAGTCAATAGGGAATTCGAAGACTTTTTCAAATTCATAAAAAGCCTTACATTACGGCCCTGAATAAAAGTAGCTACCGCTCTTTTGCAACGCCATAGCTTTCTATCATTTTCAGTTGATATTTTGAGTATGTGCTGATCTCAGTACATCATGATCAGAAGCACTATGCTGCCTTCAATCCTTTGATATTCACTAGAGTTATCAGTTCAACACTATCATTACCTTGTGAAGGTCTTATCTCGATCATTTTACGGCATTCTTTTCGCACAATCCCTCATTCGGAAGTCCTATGACATAGATATCTTCACTAAGAATTTGTTAAGAAATCAGTTCAAAATAATCGATATCCAATCGTCGTATTGAAAACTTTTATCAAGTACTAGTTAGTCATGATTTTGAGCCTGATATCGATAACTCAAGTTGGTCCCGATCCATTCAGTTCAAAAATTTAAGTAATCTATTCTCATAGGCTTGGAAGTTTTGGATGAAATTTTCAGAACTATAGTTCAACATAGAGAAACGACAGATCCATTGAGCAATTTCATCATGAGATAGTTTGTCAAATAATTGAATTATCGTATTATGCAGAGAGCTTCGAACCCAAGAAACTAGGTATATGTTAGGCTGTAATTAGAGCTAAAAAAGCAAGACTAAAT